AAGAACACACATGAGGTCGAAGGTGTGGGGTGACCTAAGTAGGTCAAGGGGCAATTCCCGGTAGTGGTCATCCCCTGGCAGTTTACATACATAACAATTCTCCCACACTTAATAAAATGTTATTTAAATTAATTTTGTTCGTTTAGAGATTTAGGCGTTGAAATTAATTCTGTGAATTCACTCATTTTATCCTTTTTGTCCTTGTTGCCAATTGTATTCTTATCGCCAATTCGTTGCCAATTTTTCCTTTGTCGTCAATTTTATCCTCGTCACCAATTGTTATGTTTGTGAAAATAACGATAACTCATAAACATTTATAACTAGATTTATTAACATAAACGTAACTATGAGTGAACAACGTATCGTCGTGTCCAGGTCTAGGGGTTACAAAACAACTAAAGACAACTCGTNTAAGAGAAAGCGACGTGCAAGACGCAGATGCAGTTTTTTTCGTTTTTGCGGGAAATTGAACATATTTTTAGAGCCATCTAAAAATTCTCTAATTAGTCTGGAAACAACGGACCCAATTTTTGCATTCTGTGAAAACGGGTAAGGTTGACTGTAACGTAATAATCTTTATCTTAGTTATCGTTACTTTTGCCCGAGCAACGCCGGGCCCACCTGCTAGTTTTTAATAAGCGATTTAGTAGGAAAATACAACATTATTGTCTTAAATGCCATTGTTAAATAAACAATAATGTTAAATGGGCGTTCGTGGTATCGATGTTTACGTAAACGTCAATTAATACGATATAACCACGAATAAAATTCAGTATTGCAAAACTAAGCTTATTTTATATCAGAAACACTTGTTGATAAAAGAATAGAGGATAGAGATTTTTTATAGAATGTATAATCTGATTAGTAATAGCCTAGAATTTTTATTACTAGGTTATATCGAGCTTTTAATTTGTCTCCCGACAAGCGCGATATAACGAGGGACTACTGTATTTTAATATAGCGAGGAATTTAAACAGATTCATATATTAAATTTTTTAAGGATGTGATAAATTAAGTTATCATCCGTTTCGTTACTTGCAGTACTTTAAAATTACCGTGTAAGCCAGTGCTAATCAGGCAAAGACAAAATATTAAATAGTTTATTTTACAAGATATATAGTATGCAATACACAACGAGTGGCGTGCCATCTTTGGAAGCTGTGGAAGCACCACTTCCTTTGTATTTTCTAAAATATAAATACATACTGTGGAATTATTTTCATATTTTAACGTAATTTGAATTAATTAAAATTAATATTTTTTATAACCGCATTATGTATCTTATTACAACTTTCTATACTACATTTGAAAAAAACGATAAGATTGCTATTGTATATTCGAATATCAGTGACGGAATGGAAGCGATGTATTGTCGAATACCACCTGAATGTTGTAAAGCATTTACAGAACACCAACCTCGTGGTTTAGCTGGTGAAAGCTACACACCAAAATATCATATAACGTTTCCAATGATTCTATCCAACACTGGTTCTGGGCTGTTAGCCACCCGCGTGCTAGATACTTGGTCGCCCTCGCCCCATTATGTGAATCGCGAGTAGATTTATAACATAATCGATAGGAGTTTACTAGTATGATTTTATGATAGATCTGTATGATAGATCTGTATAGTTGACAGGAGTTTTTAAAAAAAATCCATTAAAATAATTGGTATTATTTATTCTGTTCTCCCTTCTTGTATTACAGATTTCAACTAGTGATATTACGATTTAGTATGTCCCATCTATAAGGGGATGTAGAAAAAAACGTGTACAATTCTTGTATAATGTTAAAAAATTAACTGCTACTTTGGTAGCATCATTTACAACTAAATTTAATGAATGAGACGCACAAGGCACAAAAAAAGCTCTAGAATTTATTTTCCTTAAATTTACGATTTATGTATCCGTTTGTCATAAAAATTCGTCATTCCACTTTTTCCCCAAGACTACAAATATTCGAGAACAAAGTAACCGGTTTCGACTTATTTCTACTTAAGAAGTAGTTAAATAATTACGAGATTAGGAAATTAGGGATATAAATAAAACCCTACTGAAAGGGTCGGAATTTTACTTAAACAAAGGCTTAACCGAACCAATCTTTAGCCGAGTACAGTGGGGACTGATTTCTTCGTATTATTACATGTAATAAACACAGAAATTTTTCCATTGTGATCGTACGCCTTATTTTGTATATTGTTATATATATTATTCTTAGTATTTATTTTGTTTTCTTCCTCTTTGTTAGTTCTTTTTGTCTATCACCTTATAGAAACTTATTGTGGACACCTGGTGAAAACTGCCCATTGTCAGTTGATGGATTGGTTACGTTTAATATCTCGAAGGGTCAGGATTCTTTTTGTCAGGTCGAGTGGAGGAGATGAGAGAGATCGTCGATAAGGCGTAGGCGATATGCGAGTAAATGACACCATTTAACAATTGAAACAACGGTTTATTACATTAAACAAAATTAAACTTTTACAAACTCTAACATCGAGAAGTTTTAATTTGGTTCGCTAGCTCCTAATACACGGAGAGAGAGTTCACATTAATTGTTTCATACCTCTAGGATAATTCCACGGAGAAGAAAATGTTATTCCTTTTTTTCTGAAGATCGACGTACAAAGTTATAACAGTCCAAACTCCTTTGAGACTTGTGTCACTTTCGACCCGCCGTAGATGAGAGACTCCCTCCCGAGGTGGGGGTAAGAAGTCGGTTTTATAGCTTCGATGTGGGAAAATTCATCATGTGATTAACTGTTGTGGGAGAAAAATGTCATTGGAGCAGGTATGGAGGTTAAAGTTGTTCCCGGGACCAAAACAAAATGACGAATTAGGACTTTAATTGTAAACTTTAAGTCTTGCAATATGAGAATACCATTGTTTAGATGTGTAAATGTTTACATTAAAGAGGAGAGTTATAAGCTTCTATCGTTGTTGATGAGATATTCGATTCGTTTTTCTGACAATGGGTTTTTCACGGTAAGGTGATAAATTTGTTTAAAATATGTCAAAAGTTAGGAGGAAAGTGGAAAATTGGCCCACATAGGGGTCGGATCTCACATTCTTCCATAGGACGTGTTGCGAGGACCTCCAGGTTGTTCTGGCATCGACTGGAGAACAAAGGAGACGATAAGCTTAAGCTAGCATTCGAGAGGAGCCCGAAATATATCTCGATAAAAGGATCTTCGGAAGCTTATTGAGAGAACCTGATTAGAGTTCTACAATCAACAATTTCTACGAGAGTTAATAATTCAGCAATCACCACCATCACTCCAAGATCGTCGATACTCTGGGTACCCATTCTTTTCTATCATCATATATCCAGCTATCCTATTGTCTATCTTTTCTTCCTGTTTTTTAGTATAAGTAGTTTTAAGTATTTAGTCATAGTTCCTTTTTTATACCGCGGTGAATATTTTTTGTAGCAAGATTATACTTAACGATTCTGTCCGAGTATCTGCCGAAATTATATGTAAAAGAACAAAAACGAGGCGTGTCGGAATTTATAAAAGAATCCTGTAAAGAAAATAAACACGGGTGAAGGAAGAACATATATGTGTGTTATATGCTTGTCCTCTAGTTGGATTACACTCACCATGTGCGTATCTTACACCAGTTCAATGAGAGTGACTGAAAAGTTGTAAATTTTGAAAATTTCCATGGACACCTGGTCCTAAAACAAATTAATTAGAAAACAAATGAAGGACGATGTATTAAGTTTAACATATTTAGCTTTTTACAGCTATGGTGAGAAACATTTAAAATTTACAACCATTCTGTCACATCCTTTGAGATACACTAGTGATGCGACAAAAGAGGCATTTGACATTGATTGGTATTGGCACCCTTGGTATTTGGGGGATAAAAAAGGTCGTGTGTCATATATCTCAAGTAGGTTCAGGCTTAATGAAAATTTTATTGGTTATTAGTATTTACAATTTGTTGGCAATACAATTTTACATTTACAACTCATCTGTATCCTTAGAAATAACCTTTTGTTCTTTATAATAATTAATAATATAAAAATTATTTTTAAAAATAAAATCTTATAACATGGTGCCACACAAAGTTTTAACTTTGAGCTGGTAATCTTAGTGTTTTTTAAACTTAAATTTCTCTATTTAAAAATATATATATCATAATTCAACAAAATTTCTCTTTTTAAGCTTTGATTATTATTCAAATTTTAAATCATAATGCAATTAAAAATTATTGGATTTCCTGGTCTCCTTAACTTCCTGTTTGAGTGCCACAAAAGTCTAGCAAGCATCCTTCTATTTTTAGATTTTTCTTCTTTTTTGAAAATTTATCCATGAGCCTGAAAAATTTGAGATTGTATTGTAATATGCTCTAATAAAGTAATTCTTGTATTTAATTAGCAACATATGTTATCATTACTATTATTTGTTTTATAGAACTGTAAAGCTATTCACTTTTATGAGTGAAAAACAAATTATTCTTTAATCAAGATAAACTGCAGAGATTCTATCATTGGCTGCGAAATTGTCTAAAAAATTCTCAAAGCACTTAACATAATTTTATATAAATGAACATTATATATTTTAAACATTTACTTTTTATTTTATCATATAATTATTTAGATGGTTTTGAATTGTTTTTAATTTTAATTGATTATGCTGTTGACATAGTTACAGTTTTGCATTTCAAACTTGCATTTGAAAAGTTTAAAATGGAGAATTTTAAACTTTCCAAATGGCCTTATAGTTTAAGGACACTTGATGCTCCTCTACTACATCTGCTCCTGTAGTTTTTAAAATGAAACACTGCTCCTTTGAAGAATATGATTTTTTTTAAACATGTTTTGTTACTTTTAAATAAAAGTAATAATACTAAAAGACCGTTAAAATTCACATTAATTTTTAAAATTGATTTTGTTGTTTATTACAGAAAAGTGCATTCATTATACAGTATTAGATATTATAAGAACTATCATTTAAAAATTTGTTTTGAAACTAATAACATTGTTAAAATTTATTACAGGGTCCAGAAAGAATTAGAGCTTCAACACTTTTAAAAGATCCATATGAATTACTAAGATACTGTGATAATTTTTGTACAGTTTATGAAACTTGGCATTATGGACTTAAACTTTCAGGTAAGCTGCAGCCATTGTTATAAAAAATATTAAACATGTAAATTCAACTATTCAAACTAAATATACTTAAATAAACACTACCTTATAACCAATATACAGGAAGAAAAACTAAGAAAGCAAATGTTTTCATCCATGTTAAACAGGCATCATCATCAGGCTGTTAGTTAGTTTGATGATGGATATTGATTTTAGGGGCAGTTTATATTAAACATGTATTTAATGTATTATATTTTATTAGTATTATTGATGAGACTATGTCTCATCTATAAAATTGCGCTGCTGTCAACGGCTGGACACCTTAGAGTTATGAATGTCAGGAGTTTCAATTTGGCGCAGAGTATTTAGTGCCCAAATCATGCACACATAAGATATATGAAGTAGTCAGAACGAAGAGCCAGGCCAAAATAAAATACAAAATGGCAAGACTGTTTCTATCAACAGGTATGAGTGTAAGATTTGCGCATGTGTTGCTTGCAAACTGAACAATAAACAAATGCAAATGCAATGTAAAATCTCAAATTTTAAAGATATTCATAAAACATTTTGGTTTTTAAAAATTTGATTTCATATTTAAAATTCAAGAGGTATTCTTTATAAAAACTTTAATTTTAAGATTCAGTAGAAAGAATATTTCAAATAGTATCTTTGATTTTGAATTTCAGTTTTGCATAGGTTTTAATTTAAATTCACACATAGCGAGGCATAGTTTCATCCCAAAAATGACTTCGTCATTTTACTTGTTTTTTAAATATTTCTATATAAGCTCTATTACTACAAAAGAGATATATGATATTATAGTAAAAAAACAAAATGCTCTTAGAAATATCTATACAGTTGACCCATCTATAACACTGTTGATAATTCCGTTTTATATGAATTCCATGTTGTACGAGTCACTTAGATTTTACAAATATGTGAGTTGTTCACAGCCCGGCACACATATTTGTAAAATCTAAGTGACTTGTACAACATGGAATTCATATAAAACGGAATTATCAACAGTGTTATATGGGGGTCGACTGTATTTGGAATAATATACATTTGGTAACTTTATTTTAATTTAAAATGTTTAGATATATGCTGCTCAGATAATTATATTTTTTTATTTTTGTATCATTTAAATGCATAAAATCTATTATATAAAACATAGCACACAAAATTATCCAATTCACATACACAGTTATTTAATTCATTTTTAGTATTTGCCCTAATTTAATTTATATGAATGATTTTTAGAATAAATTTTAATTTCATAATTTAAATTAAATATAATTTGTAGAAGAGTATTTAATAAATTTATTAATTAGTAATCATCCAACCAACAGCCAAATTAATTGGCAATATTATGCTACAGTTAATAATTAGGAATTATGTGATTAGAAATTAGTGGTAGATGTTAGGCACTATCTCTTAACAAAAGTAGTAACTATAATATAATATAATATAGAATAGTATGGAATAAAAGAATCAGCCCAAAGTGGGAGATAATGCCTAACATCGACCTCTACATATTATGTAATTCCTAATTATTAATTGTAGCATAATATTGTCTGATTAATTTGGCTGTTGGTTGGATGATTATTAGTACATCAGGTTCTTGAGATGTTTATACTTATTAATTAGTTGTAATATGGTCTATTGTCTATTCTACCTTCTGCACTTCTGGTCTGATGTCAGTATCTAATGTTCAGCAAATTGTTTCCTTGGTTGCTTTTGGTTGATTTGGATAGGTCCATGTCCAAGGATACCTTGAGTTTAATCTGTGGTCTGGCCAACAGGAATCCAGTAAATAGGGACCAGAGGTTGAGTGAGAAGGATGTCCTTTTGCTTTTGTATAAAAAAGAGAAACTTCAGAAGTAACTTACATTGAAACCAGAAGAGAAGCATCAAGTGTTGATGGAAAAAGTAGAAATAAAGGATAAACAAGAAGAAACAAAAGTTTGTTAAAAGAAAAAATTTTAACCTTTATTCTTTCAAGAGTTTATGGTATTGGGAAAAAATATTGAACTTATCATACAGGAACACATGTGGCAAAGAGAATAGACTTTATTATTTAAGACAGTGTTCCGCAACCGGTGTGCCGCGGCACACTGGTGTGCTGTCATAAGGTGAATGGTGTGACGTGAACTTTTATATATTCTATTGATTTCAAGTTTTATTTATATATTTTTATCACAGTCGTTGTGTTTCTTATGCTTGTATTTCATTCACTGATGAAATAAAATGATGTTAAAGCAATAAACACATATATCATCCCACTACTCACTTATTTTTTAGGAATTATACATTGGACTCACACAGATCTTGAGCAACTCCAAATGAAAACAAGGACAACACTTACTAAGCATAAATAACATCATCCTAAATCTCCCATAGAAAAATTAACCCTTCCACATAAAGATGGCGGATGTGGCTTGATCGACATAGTTAACCCACACTACAAACAAATACAGATATTGTGAGGGTTTTTCTACAAAAAACAAGAAACGTCACAGTTACATAAAGCAGAAACTCTAGCAAACTTAAATAATACATCATTAAATTTACATTTACAACGTGTTATGTTTGTGAAAATAACGATAACTCGTAAACATTTATAACTAGATTTATTAACATAAACGTAACTATGAGTGAACAACGTATCGTCGTGTCCAGGTCTAGGGGTTACAAAACAACTAAAGACAACTCGTTGAGGCAAAGAACACACACGAGGTCGAAGGTGTGGGGTGACCTAAGTAGGTCAAGGGGCAATTCCTGGTAGCGGTCATCCCCTGGCGGTTTACATACATAACACAACATATGGACACGACACAACTTATAAATAGCATAGACACTGCTAAGCAATCATGGGTACGAAAGGCACTCCATTGCAGACATCCTTATGACCTAGCCCAGGATTTTGTTGACAAAACTGCGTCAAACATCTGGTTAGCTGAGGGATGCCTCTTTGGGGAGACAGAAGGATCATAAATATTAAAAACTACAGAAAACACATACTCAAAGATATAACAATCACAAACGACACATGCAGAAAATGTCACATTAAGCCAGAAACCATATAACACATCACTTCTGGATGCAAGCTCTTGGCATAGACAGATAAGTTACATAAGACAGCAAAGTAGCAAGTACATAAGGACAAAGTAGCAAATTAAGTAGCAAATACAAAGTAGCAAAATACAAAGTAGCAAATACATTAAGAGCTTGCAAAGAAACAAATTATTAGACATCCACAAACCATACTACAAATATTTTCAACAGACAGTATTGGAAAACAACATGGACAAACTTTACTACAACAGCCATAATCACAGATAAAACAATTTACCACAACAGACCAGACATCACACTCATTGACAAACATAATAAAATCACACATATTATAGACATATCTGTTCCAAACACTCACAATGTACAAAACACATGCACTGAAAAAATCAACAAGTACACAGAACTCACCCAGGAAATAAGGCATCTATGAAGGATGGATAGGGTGCTTATTGTACCTGTCGTTCTTTTCTCTACAGGTTTCATACCACATGCTACACAAAAGCCTGGAAATATTAAAATTGAATAGAAACACATACATCACACTACAGAAGGCAACTATTTTGAATACCTGTCATATTGTTAAGAAATTCCTGAATACAGACACACACTGACAGACTTATTTAATTTTTGTCTTGTTTTGAAGTTACTGTCTTGACTCTGGTTTGGCATAGTACACAGCCATTGGTGTCAACCAAGTGCAACTCATAAAACTCAACATAATAATAATAGGTTTATGGCATTAAGAAATTCTATTAATAGTATCATATCATACGTTTTTGAGGGGAATAACATTTTGGTGTGCCGTGTTGAGTCATGTCGAGTCATAGGTGTGTCGCAAGCAGAAAAAGGTTGCGGAACACAGATTTAAGACACATTATTTCTGTACAAAGTGGTGAAAATGCATTTCAGGCTATTTGCCTCTCTTCAGTCCTTATTTGTACAATTATAAATTTTGCAAAATAAAATACATTAAACTTAATGTTTATTTATATAACATATGTGCAAAACAATAGAGAAAAAATCAAGATTACGTAAAACAATATTCACTTGTGACTTGTAGATAAAAGGTGTAGAAAGAATGAAAACAAATAAAACTAAAATGAATTAAAAATAAAAAAATTAAGTACCGTATATTTCTGCAGATAAGACGACCTTCAGATAAGATGAGGTATAAATTTTCATCAAAGTTTAATAGTTTTAGCATATATCTGTCCGATAAGATGACCCCAAACTATCAACGGCCTATGAATTTAGTTTAGATTGGTGATTATCATCTGGATAATAATACCATATTCATAATTTTTCAAATGAAAAAATTTTATTTTCTTGAATCTGGCAGCACTGCCTTGCGATTGTTACAAACATTTGCACTGATTTGGGCATTTGGATAATGACTTTGACTATTCACAAAAAAGTTGTATGGGTTATTCTATTTTGTGGACATACTCTCTACTAGTAAATAATTACACTTTGTTCCATTTTTTATAATGGTTTTAATTTATATAAATTTCAATCTAATTTTTTTCATATCTGTCCTATAAGACAACCTTGAATTTTGGGGCTTTTTTTTATGATTCAACTATCATCTTATTTGCAGAAATATATGATAAATTAAAATAAATGCTATTAAAATGGGGTAAAAGGGGTTACCTATGTAAAGTTAAAGATAAAATTTGTGTAGTGCTCTGCTACTTAATTGTATATATTTGTTTTGATTATTTATGTATGTATATATAGATATATCTATATATCGGGTTTTTTTATTTCCTTTTTTTTTGTATTGGGTTTTCTTTTTTATTTTGTTATATGTGGCCCTCCCTTTGTTCCATATCACCTTCTCCTTGGGTTGATGGGAGAAGCCACAGAATTGGCTGGATGGTAAATCACACATAGAGGACTGACATCTGGCCCTGGGATATATAAATAGCAGAATGGTGTGTGAAAAAGGACCTTTTTTTTGTTTTTTGCCTTGTCTGTGAAACGCTTGGAGGACATGTGCTAACGAGTGGTAAAAAAGATCATCCAGGATGAAAAATAAGGACTAAATTTATGAGACTATCCTGAGAAAGGAAGACAATCTGTTCCCATCGAGGTGATGAACTTTTAATTTTCGGAAAGAACAATAATAGAAAGGAGAAGAATCATCAGGAGGATTGCCTAGATACATTATTTTTTACATGGGATGATTAATGGGTCATATCTCTGCTTTTAGCCATGGAAAGGTGCCGTGAGTAATCCAGGTTCATGTTTGATCCCTCTTTTGTTAATTTTGTAGTCTTAGTTTGTCACGCACGATCATGTATCAACGAAATTTGGGTGGAAGGAGAGTGAAGGTATATTCTTTTGTAACATGAGAGTCGTGGTTTGTGAGAGTTAATACTCTATGTATTTCCTGTGTAGTACTACAGCACTAGTATTATTGTAATTTTTTTTGTTGTGCACATTTTGTTTGTTCTTTATTGGGTCATATATTGTACTAAATTCATGTTTTTTTCTGTTTTGTGTCAGGACATCACATTGTAATAAGGTACCAGTACACAATGTTAGTGTTACCACTCGTCTGGTTTTCACCTGGACAGTCTGGGAATTGACTCACTGTCCGGGTGAACTATTAATTTTGTCTGGGAATTTTGTAGAAATTGTGAAATTATGATGAAACAAAGTTCTTGAAAATATTTTCACAAATTTACACTATTTTAACATCGAAAGAACTCACACTCACTGAAATTCATCTACAATTCTACCATGTTCGTCTGTTTAAACCGAACTGTCTGTGTGGTGCACAAACTGTCGACCTTTTTTTTTTCTGCATGTACAGTACAATCGTACACGTCTATGGGCTAAGTTATCTAGCATATTATTCTTCACATTGTAAAATGACATTGCGCTGCGTCAGGAACTTCTGTTCGAACAAACCTGATTGGCTGTCTGCGTCAGCGATTTTGAAAAGGTGGCAACACTACATAGTGTGTACCTGCTGATTGGGTGAGGTTTGGACCACGTGTAAGTGAGTCCCTAATGGTGGGAGATATAAATCCGAATGCATTCACTGAGGAGAGACCTTTTTTTTGGAGTCTGCTTGTTACACATGCTATGAGTGAAAGTGAAATTCGGTTACTAGTGAAAGCAATATGGATGCTAGGAAGTTGGACTAAGTAAAAAGGACAAGCCAAGTTCATCCACGAAAGTTTTGCAATCATTGATAAGGAATTAATGCCAAGTGCCAAGGGACTTTTAAGGGAAAGTGTAAGACCTTTATTTTTATCAAACATCATAGCTAATGGTAGTGTTCTCTCCACACTTGGAACAATTATAGTAATTGTATGTGGGATATGAAAGTGGGGGTAGTATGACCACTAAGACAATTGTATATATTTACTTTGTTTGTTTTGATGTATACATGCATTTGATTTTGTATTTATACCATAAAGGAACCCAATGAGTCTCTTGTTTTAAGACCTACTAGGGTTTAATTACACAGAATAAATTTTGTTTCCTCATACATTGAGGTTTGTGTAAAGTCCTTGTTCTCTTTGTCTTACGGTTACTCTGCACACAATCCTAGTATACTTGCTTGTTAATTATTGCATTATTATTAAAGAGGTTTGTTTGATTGTAAGCCAACATGTTATTCTTTTGTCTAAACCCCTCCGGGTTTAGACAAAAGAACCAGGGGTTTCAACACTTGCTAACATTGTAGAAATATTATGAAAATTATTAATATACACACCAATCGCAGAAGTAACATTTAGAAAATGTACAGCTGTTAAACAGAACATGAAGCAGTGCAGTGGGTAATGAAGGAGGGAACTAAATTCAATAGCATACTTGATTATAATTTGAGAATACCCATGCTCAACATTAGAGTTAAAACCCATAAAACAAATAAAGCTTATCACCCTATAGTTGACAAAATTCTATGTACTCTATAACTTAAAAAAATTCCTCAAAAATAAATTATCCACTTTCAATAATTCTATCAATAGATTTAAAAATACTGACATGTTTATTGACATGTTTTACACATATGTAATATAAATAAATGTTAAGTGTAATGTATTTTATTATGCAGAATTTATAATTGTAAAAATAAGGACTGAAGAGGGACAGATAGCCTGAAATGCATTTTCACCACTTTGTACAGGAATAATGTGTCTTAAATAATAAAATCTATTTTTTTTGCCATGTGTGTTCCTCTATGATAAGTTTCACACAGCATTTTTGTGCATTTTTTCCCAAAGAACATAGAAAGAAAAAGAAGCAAGAAAGTATTAAAGTTTATTGATTATTATGAAAAATGAAAAAGAAGAACATCTCTTCAAGTATTGTTAATTTCCCAAAATTCATTCATATGCATTGAAACACAAAAATTATTCAAACGGGCAAAGTTTTAGAAATTTTCTAAAATAAATTGTTTCAAACGTAAGTACATACATAATATTTATAAAATTGTATATACAGTATACTAAATGCTGTATCATTGCACATATATATTTCTTATATAAAGACTGTAGCATGTGATATGATTACATTAATCAAAATTTTTACATAATACAAACATTAATATATGTAAAGTTTTTCATTATGCATCAGTTTACTTATCTTCTCCTTGTAATAAAAATAATCAATATCATAACTAGAAACAAAAATCCTTTAAAATGCAGGAATCAGAATCATTCAATTTTTATGTTCCTGAGGAAGGTTATTCAAAACGGCTGAAAACATTTGGAAAAGCGAATAAAAAGGCTGCACTTTAAAGGTTTTTTGTTTTGAGGTATGAGTTTTATTTAAGTGCAATTACAGAAGAGTGTAAATAATCAATATTTCTCTGTATATAATTTTGTGTCTAAAATATGTTAGTGCATAGTTTATTTATAAATATATATAAAAACAATGATAAATTATTTAAAATGAAGCATATATTAATTTCTTGATAAACATTGAAGTCTTTAAATTTATGCCATTTACTGATATTTAAAGAATTATAATGTATATTTACTTGTACTGAAAGAATATGTAGGAAAGCACTAAATATATTTTGTATTAATAATTTATAGGTGATGGAGATTGCCTTGGAACTTATTCTAAAGAGACAAAGCAATATGAATGGATTAAATATAGTGAGGTATTAATTTTGATTATTTCTTAAATGTACATTTATCTAGTTTTAAATATGGCAACATATAAGCATATCACATAGAAGAGACTTTATTATAACTCTGATAAGTTAATGACATTAGGAGAAAGAAATTTATGTGTATATTAGTTTGTTATTCTATAAAGTACTTTTATTATTATACAATTCAAACATAATTAAGTTATTTATTTTATACATTACTACAGGTTATAAAAAGAGGTGAATACTTGGGATCTGCTCTAATTTCATTGGGTTTAAAACCAAAAAATGACTCATTTGTTGGTATCTATTCCAAAAATAGAAATGAGGTAAAAATATTCTAATATTTCATATTACTCAAAATTTGCTTACAAAATTTCTTAATTTCAAATAAAAATGAATATCAGTAGTTACATTTTGAAGATTTAACATTTCCTTGAAATCAGAGTTTACTGCAATTATCTGAATTCAACAAAAAAAAAAGAATTAATTTTATTGTTTAATTAAAATATATTTATATAGAATTTATATGAAATTAGATTGCTGTTTAATGTTATTTTTTTTTTCCAAGTTGCCAGTTTTCTCAAATTCTTAAGTCATGCATTCATCTGAGAAAAATCTTGAGAGCCACTCTTAGCAGTAAAATGAGTAGTGGACAAGGTTCCGAGAGTGCTTTCAGAGAACTAGTTTCAATTGGACATGTATGAATCTTCCTCTCAGATGATGACTCTCACAGTTTAAATCTTGTTATTATAGCTCAGGGGTTGCACTGTGGCATCCTCTGAACTACAAGGCACATACACTGTGCTTCACTTTGCAATTGGTACAAGTTTGTTTTGCATTATTTTTTAATTAAACTACTTTTACAGAAACACAATATACTCTGCAGACTGACTACTGTTAGTCTGCAGAGTATATTATGTAATCAGTTGTTGAGGCACAAACTTTAAGTGGTATTTCATGACAGTTAACATGTAAATAACATCTCATAACAGATGGTGTCACACTCAATTTTAACTTTGAGCTAATGTTAGTGTTTTTTTTATTATAATTGAACAAAATTACTCCTTTTAAGCTTCTGTTATTACTTAAATTTTTATGTTGTAGTGTAATTAAAAATTGAGAAACTATTCTAATCTCAACACTGGGGTGAAATCTACACCACTATCTGGAACCTGTAACCGGTGTGTGACACATATACAGGGTGTATCAGAATGACGTTTTAAAAATTTTGGGGGATTGTGGAGGATGAAATTTTGAACGTTTTGATATAAGGAACCCATAACCAGAAATGTGATATAAAGTTTCTACAGTGGTAGGAAGTGCTTAACCGCCCTTTACTTTGGTAGCTACTCTTCTGTCCATTGACGTCATGTTATTGTTCTTGACTTCTTCCTCTGAGGTTATGTAAAGTCCCTTGTGTATGCAACACCTGTAGGAACAGTTCATGAGCTTATGGAGTTCATCTTTACAGCATTTAATACCATCAGAAGGGAGCATAGCATCTTACAGAGTTGGACAAAACATGGTTCGTCGTTGCACATTGTGTAACAAAGTTTGGTGGTCGTCACATTGAACATTTACTCTAAAGTAGTGCAACCACTGATTCCATGTACAGTTTGATTGTACTCCATTGTTTTGTCAATAAAACTTGTCATAAATACTGTATTCTGCTGTTTCATTCAGCATACCAACTGCATAGAACGTGCAAAGTGCTGTAGAAACTTTATATCACATTTTCGGCTATGGGTTCCTTATATCAAAATTTCATCCTCTACAATCCCCCAAATTTTTAAAACATCATTCTGATGTACCCTATATATTGTATATCGCTGTTGACGAACGTTTTCGAACAATCTCTTTTCTTTTCTTCAGGTCAACTAATTAAGAACTATTGGGTTTCCTAATACATTAGTTCCTGTTAAAACCCTTGCCAGCTTTTTTTAAATTTTGAATTGTATTCTGAACAGAATTGTTTGATTCCATTTTTGTTTCAAACATTAAATAATGAGCTTTTCATGTCAAAAGGTGTTAAGTAGTTTTTATTAAAAATGAACTTGTATTATGGACAAATGTGATATTTTATTTTGAATAATTATTTCTCTAAGTTAAAATGAGAAAGTAATCTCAACTGGATAACTTAAAATTTATTTATTTTATATCAGTTATATGTAAATGATATAATTTTTAAATAGTAATAAAGTTATGATAAAGAAAATTACTCCAGGTAAATTTATAATTTATTGAATAGTAGAATATATGAAGTTTTACTTTTATTTTCATTAGATTTTTACATTAATAGGTTGGGAAGTCCCAAACTTAAATAAATGAAATTTGAAAGTAGGATGTAAATAGTTTGAAGGTTAAAAATATTACAAGTAATATTAAAAGTGAATTAATGTAAAAAAAATTTTATTTCAAGAATTGATGATTTTAAATTTTCAGTTTGTTATGTCCAATTTGGGATGCATCACATATTCTATGGTGCCTGTACCTCTCTATGATACTTTAGGAAAAGATTCACTTCATTTTATTATTAACCAAGGTATGTGTAATGTAATGTATAATGTAATTCACTTTTGTTTATTATTATATTTAAAACATTTTCATTTTTACAGTTGAATTACCAATTGTAATATGTGATTCAGTTGAAAGAGCATCAACACTATTAGAAGAAAAGGATAAAATTCCTACATTAAAATCAATAGTGGTAATGGATGAAGTAAATGATGATGTGAAACTGAAAGCTCATGCTAAAGGAATTTCTTTATTTTTATATTCTGAATTTGAGGTTTGTACTTTAATATATGTATATTTTGAGTTTTTAATACAGGGTTGTCTATAATTGAGCCCATCTTAAAAATAACACCTTTCTCTCAAATTTCACACAAATCCAATAATTGGTGTAAGTTGAGATAATTTACAGTGAGTTTCTTAAATGTAATATGTTTATTTTTGTGTTTTTCAATTGAATTAGAATAAAATAAACATTAAAAAAGCACTTTTGGCATTCCAGGAGTATTTTACATCATTAAGAGAGAAGACAAAATGAATAAATTAAACATATAATTGCAGTTTTTGATGTAATTCTGACAGTTCACAGATTTAGAATAAAAACACCTTCATTTTTATGTGACATAACTTGTTCACTTTTTTTAAATGCACCTCCTAGAGAAGGGTGTATAACATCATTTAAACTGGTATGCCGGCATTCCTCCAGGTTAAACTGGCATGCTGGTTTTTACTATACAGAAATATCTGATTTTGTGGTCTCCTCAGATTAGGATTACTATAATACAGTAGATGATCAGTTAATGAACAAATCGGATAATAAACACTTTTGCAAAAGATTTTTATGTTTGGATAACGAACACCTCACAGAACAAACACAAGAAGAAGCGACATAAAATAACTGGTCTTCCCTTGTCTTCAGGCAACAATTCAAAACTTTCAGAGCGCAGGAGTTGTCGATATCGACGCTCAGTGCAGTATATACTGATCGGATAGCATTCTTCCAAACTTTGAAACTCTCCCTTGTAATTCCAGCCTTTTATTTTTCTGACAGAAACAATTCTTTTATTGTATTTGCGAGACTGTTGGGCAGGCACTTGTTAAATTTTGCATTGGTTTTATTTTCAAAAGGTGAGAGTATAATAGCAAAGGCAGAGTGGACAAATATCAAGGGTTACCTGTATAAATATACTTTTGTTTTACTTCTAAATATTAAGATAAGAGACTTTACTTATTTTTAATATATAATTATACCTTATAAATACTGTGTATTGAAAATCTTACTTTAATTTGTTTTTAATAAATTTTAGTATGATTATTTTACATGTTCATTTTGATGAAACATTGTTTTTTCCGTAATAATTCCATTATATTTAAATTTTAATTTTGAATGTAGGAACTAGGAAGAAATAAAATTCTTAAACCTGTGGTAAGTACTATATATGTAATATTTTTTACTTAAATTTTTAATTGCATTTTTAATAATCACAAATTATTCAAATGTTTTGAAAAACATAAAAATATGAAAGTTATCTGTTGTTAATAACGTAAAAACCAGATTTTGATGAATTTCTTGCATTATAACTTATTTTGAATGAGTCATTGATATAATTTGGATCTAAAAGTAAACATTGCTGTTCTTTAGACTTAATTATTTTAAATGTACAGAAGAAATTTGATTTTAGATAACAGTAAAGCATTCCTATGCCTTTTTTCCATGAACATTGTATTCCAGTCTTTTTCACCAGAAGGCTTAACGACAAAAGTTTTCACCTCTACTCATGAGGACAATCTCAGAAAGAAATGAAAACAAAGAATACTTTTGATTTAGTAAGCCAAAATTTAGGCTTAGTAAATCTAAAGAAACAAGTAATGGAAATGAACAACCAAAAGAATACTTTGTATACAGTAACTTTCCCTTTTTCTCTGGGTGCACAACTATAAAGAAAGATGAAAATCCAAGAGGGAAGGAAAACTAAAATGATATTAATAGATACAAGTCACAAAACAAAATTTAATTTTTATTTTGATTTATAATTTATTATTTACAAGCATAAAAAGTGTAATGTTATTTTTTATTTGGGTTATCTCAAATAAAAAATTTGATTAATTGATTTTAAATTTATATTTGGACTGCAGTTTGAAAACATTGTAGACCTATAAATTCCCATTGTCGTCTGTCCGTCTGTCTTTCCTTAATATTAAAAGTGGAGTTAGATAGTTGAAAGAAGAGACGAGATATGGAAACCTTAAGGGCAGCAGATTTCGATTAACTAATATAAACTTCCAATGCAAACTGGAAGTCATGTTATTTCAATTCAAAAATTTCCCCTGAAGGGTGTTAGATAGATGACTGACACGACTCTTGTTAATGGGAAAAGTATGATGTACAGAGGCAAGTCACTACTAATTTGAGTAGAGAGAATATATTTTAAATTAAATAAGTTAAAAGTATGATTAAAAATTGATGCCTGGCATTGTGATGATGTCATAATATTTCTTGTTTGTCAAATATATTGTTCTAAATAAATATAAGAAAATTGTCAAGTGTTTTATTATTTAACTGAAACCCTCGCTGATTGAAACTGTACATATCAAGGGTTACAACATAATTCTGATAATTTATTTTTTTAATATTATGATTCCTATTATTATTGTTTAAATATTATAATTTCAAAATTTTTCTTAAAATAATAATAAACTAGAATTTGGTAATGATCTTGTCTTCATCTGAATGCTGGTTTCTTGCTAAGTAATGAATTTGCAATCATGAGTGTCTTCATTGCATAAAAGAAGTTACAGTAGTATCCATTGTCTTTCTTTTATATTTAAACTATGTCAGTAATTTAGTCAAGAATATGTAATTTTAGCCCAAGAAATCTGTCAAAATTTGTTTGATGTTGTATAAATATGCTTACAAGGAGAGGCTTAGATGTTTGGTTCTCCAATTTGAATGAAACTTGATGAGCATATAGTTTTAAACACAAACAGCTCCTTATCCAAATAATAAGACCTACTTCTCTAGCATTTCTGAAAAACAGAGTTCTGAAAATTGAATGTTTAGCTTATAAGACTGTAAATTTCATGTCTCCTCAGGATGGCAATAACCAAGTGAATAACTCACTGGAGCTACACAATATACTACTGTGATTAAAAGTATCAGGAATGATTCATTCAAACTGTGCACATGCAAGAGAGTGTTATTATCATTTTTTTCATTGTTTGGTATGATTTTCATTGACATCTAGCAGCAATCTGTATGTCATCATGTGTTTTTGTTTGCAAGTAAATGTTTATTTTGTGTGTAAAGAATTTTTGCACCCATAATTTTTCAAAATGTTGAGTGTAATTGAGCAAAGAATGTGCATTAAATTTTGTTTTTGCAATGGAATTACTGATACAAAAATGCTAGAAATGTTGCAAAAAGACTTTGGTGACAATAGTCTATCTAAAACAACTTAAAGAACATCTTATACCACTTTTTGAGTGGTATAAGATGTTCAAGGAAGTGGTTTATCTTTGACACAGAATGTGTCAAAGATGAACCATGCTCTGGTAGACGAACAAAATGTCACTCAAGTCAGAGATTTGGTACTCAATGATTGTCATTTAATAATTAGAGACATTATTAAATGAACATGTTCTGGTATCATTCGGATCTTGACAAGATTCAAATGATGGGCTTATAGCATGTTGCTTCTTGAGTTGTCCCGAAAGCATTGAATTTTTTCCAAAAATAACAATGTTTTTTTTAGTGGCTGAGGAAATGCTTTCTCAAGGCAAATCATTCATAAAACACATCATTATGGATGATGAGACATGGATGTATGCTTTTGACACATGTGGCTACATTCCATATTTTATCATATATTTCGTATATAATTGTGTCATTTTATCTTGTATACTTCCCGCTTCACATCTGTCTGTCCTATTTGTTTACCCTTCCTGGAATGTTCTCGTTTTTCTTTTCCCTGGCGTGGGTATGCGGGTGGGCTAACCGGAGAAGCAACGAAAGAAATGTAGCTCGGAGGGGAGGGAGCGATCGGGAGACTCAGAGGGGTAGAAAGGAAGAGAAGGAAGAGGAGCTAAAAGAAAAGTCTCCCCGGCAAGTATAGCGTGTGAGGGTGAGAAAGAGAACTTTGGAACGTGAAGAGCGAAAGTACGTCTCCCCGGAAGGTTTTGCATCGTAGTGTGAAAAGGAGATCTGTGGAACGTAGAAGAAAAAGGAACTCAACCGAAGGGAGCCAGAAGGATCATCCCTTTGGATTAACTTCTCTACGTGAAACAAGGAACAGAGCTAACCAGCCCCCCGATCAACGAGGAACCGCATCCGTCAAGTTTTGGGTACCCTCTTTCCTTATTCTTTACTTTCATCTTCTAAATCTTCGAGTAAGCCGGCTATATAAAATAAGTTTAAGTAGTAGTAGAAATATAGTATTAATTAAGATAGTTTTAAGTGATCGGTAAGGAACGACGCGCGTGCAATCTTTGTCGGGTTAATGAATTATGTGGAGTATCCGTGGGGTTAGCATAGTGGTATCCTGAGAACCTGTATCCTAAAAAGCGAGTAAATAAAAATTAATTGTGTTTCATTTAACTAATCTGGATTGTGCGTTTTTATCCTGCTCGCAGTTTTAACACACAAAACAACTCAACAATCAAGTGAACCCTGTTTTGTGAAAAACAATCTGTCTAGATTTAACTCTTTAATGTTGTTAAATCACAAATGCGAAAGTTTATGGAACTTCCAGACTTATCAGCTAAACAATCAATTTCCACTGACCAATTTTTCAAAAATGCTTGAGAAGTGGATGAAGCAAGATTGAAAAGACCACGTTAAAGTTGAAAAAATCAAGGTTGTGTTGACTGTTCTCTTTTATTGTTATAGTGTTGTCCATCACAAATTCCTTTTTACTGGCCAAACTATGAACAAAGACTATTTTTTGAGCATTTTTTATTCTTTGTGAGAAGCAATTTGTAGAAAATGATCTGATTTCTGGGAAGAAAACTCATGGATTTTGCACCATGATAATGCACCTGCTCACAATGCTTTTCTTATTTATGAATTTTCGGCCAAAAATTCAACAAATACAGTTCTGCAAGCTCTGTATTCACTTGACATGGCACAGTGTGATGCAGTGGCATGTGGTGATATTTGATGATAGGAAAGCTGTGTCGGCCCTGGATAGAATCATTGGAAGCATTAAATAGTATTTTGGTGTGTAGCATCCATGAGCAAAATTGCAAGAGGTTGGTGCTCTGTAAAGCGCATGCCTGTAATCTGGCTGCTTTACACAATTAAAATATTTTTGCCGTGAAAGCTGTCCTGTATTCGACTATACAGCGTTTCTATTGGGAATTTGCATATATGAATTCATATTCGAATATACAATGGCAATTTTATCATTGTTTTTCACATGTAGTATAGAAATTTGTAATAAGATACACAATGCAGTTATAATAAAATATTAATTTTAATTAATTCAAAGTACTGTGGCTATATGCCATATTTGTGTACATATTAATCTATATATATATATAAAATTGCTTGTCCTGACTGACTCACTCACTGATTCATCATCACCCAGAGCAAATCGCTGAACCTAAAGAGGTGAAATTTGGTACACAGTTAGGGTATGTCATGAAAAACGCACACTAGGATTTTTCGAAATTCTCCCATGGGGGAGAGGTAGAGCATTAAGGTTTAACCGGAAAAACGGCTTCTACTGTACTATTTTAGATGTGATTTTTTTGTTTTTATATGCGTTTTAGTAGGGTATGCCATGAGAATGGATACTAAGAAGGGATTTTTTTAAATTCCTCAGTAGGGGAAAGAGAAAGAGTATTAAGGCTTAACCGGAAGAATGGTTCTACTGTACTATTTTAGATGTGATTTTTTGTTTCTGGTGGTAACTTAATTTCCAAATGTACAATATTTACGTATTATGATTTTTTAACCAAATGTTCAAACCATTTTAAATTCAAATTTGTTACTACATATTTGTTCGATTATAGAACAATTGCAAACGTTTTAGAAAATTGGTCAGATTGAAAACGTTTGGTTGAATTAGAAGATTCTCACTAATAAGGGGTATGTTTAATGGAATAATTTTATACATTTAGATGGTTATAAATTACATAATAACTATGGTTGTTGAAATAATAAATATAAATGGTGTTATGATGCCCCACACCATCATTCCAATTATAAGCGATGGAGCTTGCCTCTTTAGAGCAATATCCTTTGTTTTGTATGACACTCAAGTGATGGCCAGAGAAGTACGTGCAGAAATAGTGGGTTACGTGATGAGTCACTGGGATGATTTTTCGATAATGTCACATGATAGTGATGGAAATAATTATAGCAGTTCTGTCGAATACTTCAACGATATGTTGCGATTTCATACTTATGGAGGTTTATGCGAGTTA